GCTACCATAAACAGGTCAGTTATTTCCTTTGTATGTTTATACATTTATAATTTATTCTCCATAATTTGTGATTTTTCTATTTGATGTTTTTATGCATATATGGGAACTAAGGGTTATGTTCCCAGGGGACATGTTTAGATGTTGCATGTCAGCCTAAAAGTACTGTGGCATGAAAATGACAGAGGAGACGGAAGTTTAAATGTTCTTACTAATACATTTTAAGTCGTTGGGTTCATTCCCTCTTGACACTGAAGAAACATGGGGCTTATCTGGTCCATTTTCCATCATATTTTATTGCCAAGGAAAAGTGATTTGATGGAAACAAAGACACTATTTGTTTATGATTCTAAGCTGTCGTTTGAAGTTTTCTGTCCAAGGTTCAATATTATTCTTCATATTGGGAACTGAAGATTCATCAGGTTGCTTGTTATGTTGTACTTACAATATAACAAGCAACATGCATTTACAAGGTTTACATGCATTTACAAGGTTTATTTTATAATTTATTTTATATTGAAATATTTTCTATTTCTAATTGTAATTTAAGTTTAGCCCTGAGGACATTTGTTTACTGTAGCATCTACTGAAACATTCACTAAGTGATATTTTCAAGCCTTGCATTCCTTTAAAAGTTAAGCACAGTTAAACAAGTTAAGTAATTACAAGTAATTGCCAAGTAATTTAAAATGTCACGTACTAGTGATAAGAGAGTGAGTTCTTCTGCAGCAGAACCAGGACAGGCAGAATACCCTGGCAATGCCGAATAAACTGCACAGCATAAGGAGCCTCGTAGAAGTGAAAGAGCCTGCGCGTTAACAGATTTGGCCCGATGCTGGTACTATATTTGTATCTTCAGTTTCCAGCATTTCACTTTCAGCGTCTCATCACTCTATAACAAATCACTCCTATGCATCCTCCATTAAAATACAAGATGCAGCTGCTGAGTATGCAGCAATCTGAGCTGTATTAAGGGTTACAACTGAGCAAGAATGTCTCCAGAGGAAACTGCAAGAACTAGAGGCTAAAGATAAGCAAGACAGCAAGAAGAGAATACAGCAAGAAAAAAAATGCTGAAGAAGACTTGAAAAGAGAGATTGAGTGGTTAGAGGAGCTGAAAAGGCTTAATGCAGCCAGAGCAAGGCTTTAAATACATTTTTAGATCAAACATTGCATAATTCTGGACTGCCGATAGCTGAACAGGCAATTCATCAGGCGAACCAGGGATGTAAGGATGTAGCACCAAGAATTGTTTTGGCTGAGGCTATATCAGCAAATAGGCTACCCATTCCAGAGCACACAAGTTTAATCACTGGATGTTGTCCTTTCAATCACCCTTTGAGAGGAAAAATATTTCAACTACAACTTTGCTAAGTTAACATTATACAAGTTCATCTCCAACAGCAAGATGGTATTGAAATCAATTCCAAAGGAAGAGTGTGCTGAAAGTGTCCAGGCTCTGGATATGGCATTAGGGCAGCCACTCAATGAAAGAGCACTCGGTGTGCAATGGTGCATTGCTTCTCATGATTTTCACTTCACAGGGACTGTCAAGAAACACCCACTAACCAGACTAGGAGTACTATCCACAGTAGCTTCTATCTATGTCCTTCATCCTTATGGGGAAGCAAGTCCTGCAACAAATGTGCCGAGACAAGGTGGGCTGGGATGAGACAATCTCAGAAGAGCATGGGTGCAAACTGAAAAGGACTAGAGGCATGGAGAGTTGAGTGTTGATAGGTAGGGCAGCTGGTGGAGAGGGGTGGTGGTATCTGTCACGTTAGGATGAAGCCAGACTATAAGCAGAGTAAGAGGAGTGAGAGAAGTCAATGCTTGTAGGACTGGGTGTATGGGTGCAGGCCAGAGAAGACTGGAAGATGCATAGAGAGTCGGCTGTTGAGACAGCAAGGTGGAAGTGAAGTAGAATTGATGGTGCAGGAGGTGTTAGCACAAATGTGTCTGAAAAACTTAATGATTAGGATTTGTCTATACTCGGAATGCATTGTGGAAGTCTTTAAGGCGAAGTTGCATTTATCTTCCTTTTCTCTTTCTTCTAGATGCCATGTCAGACACAGGGTCCAGCAGTGAAGGCTTTTATACGTTGGGCCCAAAAGAAAAGTAAGTCCCTGCTTTGATAGTGCTCCTCAACCAAGCTTTACATCACTGGGGGGTGGAGTCTTTCATTACAGTAACTCAGTAACACCCAAGGTCATAAATAAGATAAATCCAGATGCTTCTTAGAGGCAATAGACAGAAATGTTACAGTTCCTGTCCAGGGCTGAAAAATAGCAATAACTATATAAACCAATTCAAAACAGTAAAGACAGCATGGGCAGTGTGTGGAATGCTATTAAAACAGAAAGCAGCGATTAGTAAAGTCTGTTTAGTAAGCCAAAAGGAACGACAGATTTCACATAATGTAGTGGAGTAAAAAGTCAGAAATTTGACTTTGAAATGTAGTGGAGTGAAAGTAAAAAGTCACCCAAAATGGAAATACTTCAGTAAAGTACAGATACAGGAAAAAATTACTTAAGTACAGTAACCACTGGTTCTAAAAGCCCAAACTGCTGTGAGGCGTCTGTCACCAGACTGAAATGCCCTGGGCAGCCACTGCTCTTTGGTCCAGGTCTTTTCAGCATCGCACCAATGTTGTGGACCAATCATGAGGCATGATCGTATGTCCTGCACAGCATCGACCGCCCAAACTGGAACATTGGTCTGGAAGAAAGATGTCAAATAAACAGAGGGGAAAAGTGGAAGGAGAGGAGGGAAGGAGCTTCAAGCTCAGATTTACCTTTTACTGCATTTAGTTTTATGTAGGAATCACAGACTCAGATTCTGGATAGCTGGTGTTTTCCCTTTCAGTAACGCTCACCTGACTCACCGCAACTGTGCACTGATTCTGTGATGACTGCGTTTGACCAATGAGCGGTTTGCACAATTACTAGCTCTACTCATACATTCTGGATCAGTGGTTCCCAGTGACCACAGCTATGAGTCTTTTGCTTTGTGTTTTGACTCCAGAATAGGACAAAAGCACAGAAAAAATAAATCTTCCAAGATCGTCACCACTGCATTTATCTTTTTTAATGCCTGACCTTAATGGTACTCAAAATGTATTTTAAAGAACGAGGTAAGGCCGTTACCCGTTTCCTAAGGATTAAACCTATTAAGCTACAAGCACCACATTCTAAAATTGGACTGCGATTATCTAATTTTGGGCTTATTTGAGGCCAGTTGGTTTCTAGTAGGGCAGTATGAGATGAAGCACGTCTCTTTAAGGTTATACCTTTTCTTAAATCAAAGGCTGCATTAGTCAAACTAACTAAAAACTCACACTTAATACATTCTATGTCTGGAAGCAAATTCATCTGCTTATTGACCACAAACCATTTCTTTTCAAGTCAGCTCCTCTTTCATGCAGCCCTGTTGTGCCTGATGGTACTAAAGATAGTATGTTAAGTTTTTGGGGGAGAAAGGAATAAAAACTATCAACTGTTCATTCACTAGCATTAAGCCAATCTTAGAAACCTTCCATATATCTAACCAAAACCTGATCAAATATTTACAGCTTCGAGATTGGGTGAAAACTTTTTTCCCAGATGTTCCCAAAAATTCCCCTTTGATTCTATCCTCCAGAAGTGTTATGATACAATTATGGTAAATTCCCAATATTTGAGACAACAGAACTCACACAAAAATGGGAGAAGGTCTGGGAAAGAATGCAGACAGAATTGGTTTCTACAAAACAGACAAATCTCATTTGATATTTTACATACAACATGACAAAGATCACATACATTCAATAATAATACTTCAATAAAAAATACCTCTTCTGAATGTCACAGATGTAGAATTAATAATGGTGATTTGAGTGTGAACGCAGCCAAGACTCAAACAGATGCAAATCTGATCACTCAGACCACTTCAGAAGGTGGACGCATTTGAGCAGCGTAAACACATCCGTCTCTTCAAGACACATTCAACAACCAAAACCCCTCCCAGTACAACCAAAAACCATTCCCACTACAACATAAACTCACCCCAGTACAACCAGAACTCCTCCCAAGACAACCGAAACCCCTCCCTGTACAACCGAAACTAAAACCCCTCCCAGTACAACCAAAACCCCTCCCAGAACAACCGAAACCCCTCCCAGCACAACTGAAACTAAAACCCCTCCCAGTACAACTGAAACCCCTCCCTGTACAACCGAAACTAAAACCCCTCCCAGTACAACCAAAACCCCTCCCAGAACAACCGAAACCCCTCCCAGCACAACTGAAACTAAAACCCCTCCCAGTACAACCAAAACACCTCTCAGTAGAACATAAACTCCTCCCAGTACAATCAGAGCTCCTTCCATTACAACCGAAACCCCTCCCTGAACAACCGAAACTAAAACTACTCCCAGTACAACCAAAACCCCTCCCAGTACAACCGAAACCAAAACTCCTCCCAGTACAACTGAAACCCTTCCCAGAACAACCAACACATTGTTTATATTCATATTGAGTGCTTCAAATGGTTCAGGTTGTAAATGATGTTTTTTGGATGCTTGGTTGTGTTTTTACTGAAATCATGTGCCTTTTTACATTGTTATATTGTAATATATTGTGAGATATTGTAGTTTTGAGACTTTAAGGTACTTTCGAGCAGTGTTACAGGAATGTGTAGTGAAGGAATGAAGAAGCCTTTTTTCCTTTTATATCCAGAACCCTGTTTGTATTGACTGGACTGACAAACTGAAAATAACTCGAGCTCGTTTTCTCTCTGGTTCGACTCTCATCAGGTGTGTTTCTGTTCTATTTGCAGAATCACTGGTTTCTATTGGAATCCAGGTTGGCACGTCATTCATTGGATATAGCTTTTTGTTTAATGCATCAAAACAGATCCGTCACCCTAAATGGGGTGAAGAGTATGGGCTGAACACCCCAAGCACACCAACGTGCATTCTGTTTGGTGAAGATGGAGAGTTTTTAAAGTTTGGTCATGATGCGGTAATGACATACACCAGGCTGACACGGAGAGACGAGGCACAGAAACTCTACTACTTTGAAAACTTCACACTGGAGCTCAAAGACAAGGTAAGATTTATTATTATACTCATTTTTATACACTCACTGGACGCTTTATTAAGTACAACTACATGAATTGTGTACATTGTGAATTACAGATAGTAGTCCATCAGTCTCTGCAGATTTTGTTAGCCCCACTTTACCCCCAACAGACCCCCAGTGGACAACCACTGAGCAGGTATTATTTCAGTAGAGGATGGTTCTCAGCCCTGCAGTGACACGAATGTACTGTATATGGACCATTCTAAGGAATGTTTTTAAAGATCTTTTAGATGTCTTTTAAAGTGAAGTTCAAAGGTTTAGATTTATCATGATTTTAATTTTTATATATAAAAAAAATGTTGTCCAATGTTCCTTTGACTACTGAAAGTTTTTAGCCACAAGCAGGAACTGAGACTGCATGGCCACATGGTAAAGATGCCTAACTCTCACTACCGAAACACATATTTTCTGCAATTAAGTAAACTTTTTAGTGTTTTTGATTAAAAAATCTGATGATTTTCTGTGTGAACAGCTGCTCAAAGCTGTGCTTGCTGGTCATGTACTGGCTGTGTTTTTGAGTTCTGCTCAAAATTAGCTAAGATTTTCACTAACGAAACACACACTACTAAATATTTGGTAAAGTTTGGGTATAAAGTTATACATTTTAACATTGTGATTGTTTTGGTAGTGAGAAAATGGAATTTTTATTCATTACTAAAAAAATAAACGTTAGGTTTTTATGCGTCATCAAATTAAAAAAACATGGCAATGTGGGGTAGATGAGATGACTGATATTGTGGTTCTTGTGATGGTGAGGAGTTCTGTGGCATGTGTGAATAGGAATGTGTGAAAAACAAATTTAAGGTACAAGGAATAATTGATAATGAGATGGAAAAGGAACTGGCAGAACAGACAGAACCAAGAAGACGTCCACCTTGTGGACACCTTCTATCCTGCCAGGTAAACATTAGTCCAGCCACCACAATTCACACCTCTGGGTCACTCAATACCACACCTGTAACAACTAATTAGTACTAAATTTACTATGACAGCCTTGAGACTAACAGAGTCTGAGCAAAAGTAAATTAAACTCTTTAAACTTTAAAAAGAGGAGACTCTGCTTTAAAAAGATGAGAATAAATCCAAATCAAAGCACAGTATATGTTACAGGTTTTATTATATTGTTTGTGTATTTTATTGTAATACGATATTCTTCTATTAAAAATATCATATATTTTAAGATCATGATATCAGATAAAACAATTGACCACATCAGATCCCTATAGTGATTTCAGATTTACATAACTTACTTTGCTCCACTAAAAAAATGTTCAGATTAAACTGTAAGTTGTATGAATGTGAAACTTAATAGTTAGCACTCCCTCTTGGGGTTAAGGCACATGAGATGAATCCCATCGACCTGAATGTTTGGTATTTTGGCTCATGACTCCTACAGTGTGAGGAATACAGACATAATCTCATAATCTCATACACCATTTCACTGGAATCAGCTGGAATCAGGAATTGGAATTTAGTGAGCCTAATAATGTTTGAATTACAAGAGTTCTCATAAAGGAGTAAATACAATGCATTTTATCAATTGATTGAAGCATTTTTCAGATCAGTCCAACTATTTTTTATCCAAGAATTTCTTGGATCAAAATATTTTAGGGTTCTGTAGATAATTAAGATTAAAAAAGAAATAAATAAAAAAATAAAAATTATATATATATATATATATATATATATATACATATATATATATATATATATATATATATATATATATTGCCCACCATAGTCTCCACATGTTAATCATTGTGGCCTTCGCAACTTAAATTACTAAAACTCAAAAATGGCTTGTCTCATCGTCTCAAATTTAAAGCACTCATATGGATTCAGATTCAGAAATGAGGCTTGCAAATGTAACCCTGATTGACATTTAAGGAATTATACAATGCACAAAAAGACAGTACAAATAATAAAAAAAAGACTTTTTCCACAATATTTAGCTAACATTACCAAAGTCAAAAACACCTTTGTTGGAGGCACCTGATCAACAATCATAACAAATGGAGGCCTTCTAATAAACTCTGACTTCGTCTCATTTATCTTCTGTTTGTGAAACTGCATCATTCTGCCACATCAAGCCTCATCAAGCTATTTTTGTGTGGATGTCATGTGTTTTTGCTCCTAAATCATGTGCATTGCCTTGTTCTGAACTCAATTAACTGCAGCCAACCTCCAAATAAAAGTGTTTTGTGATTAATTCATTAATTAGTCAGTGCACTACAAGTGAGTTTACATACTACATTAGTTTTGAAGAGTTTCAGAAAAACACCCATTAATTGCCAAACCTGGTTACAGAGCTTTTGAGAAGTCAGTGTTACTCAGTGACATTAGGGATTAATGAGCATATATATTGTGTATTTGCATATATGTTTTTTGTTTATATACATGTATGTGTATTGAGTATTTGTATGTGTCTTGTGTAGGTATTACACAGAGATATGATGATAACTGCCAAAAATGGTAAAAAAATGAGAGCTCTCAAAGTTTTCTCTGAGAGTCTAAAGTTCATGAAAGATCACGCTTTGGACGTGATTGATCGACACACATCTGGAGTGAAGTACTCTGCCTCTGATGCTACATGGGTTTTGACAGTTCCAGTCATTTGGAGTTCAGCAGCTAAACAGTTCATGAGAGAAACAGCTACAGAGGTAAGTGAGATCATATATCAGAGACATGTATTATTTTTATTTTTATAAAACATATCTTTATGTGTTTAGGCTGGTCTGGAGAATCTGATCCTGAAAGACTGATTGTAATTCTGGATTTATATTAAAACATATCTTTATGTGTTCAGGCTGGTCTGGTGACAGAATCTGATCCTGAAAGACTGATTGTAGCTCTGGAATCAGAAGCTGCAGGTGTTTGGTGTAAACAGCTCCCAAAGGAAGGTTTTATGGAAGGAGATCTTACAGAAGCAGAGACCGTAGAGCAGATCTCAGAAACACAGTACATGGTGGTGGACTGTGGAGGTATGTAGATATTGAACTGTAATGTTATAATCGAATGGACTGGACTAGATCAAAGTTGGGATAAATCAACTATGAAAAGTATGCAATTTAAAATACAGTTTAAAGTTCTGAAAATGATGAACAAATTAATACAGAATGTGGATTTGATACTTTTGGAAACAGCTGATTGTAGAGAAGACTATGTGAGTTGTGGTTCCTTTATGAAGGACAGTATGAGAAGAGAAATTGTAAGCAGTTATGGGTCACTTAAACTGGATGGTACCATATTTGTTAGGGGGAGTTTCTGAATAGCGGCAAAACGTTTTAAGATTTACATTTGGGTTGAACAAATTTACAAACGCAGTGCCCAACATTAGTATATACTTTAACAGTATGTTTATGCTTCCAGCAGAAATAAATCTAAACTGTTGCTCATATTTTATTCAGGATTTTTAAGTCTCTTTCTGTCAGAGTAAAATATTGCATGTTGTATTTTGCCCAAAATTAGTGTTACTACTTTGGAATGATTATTCTGCCGATTTGTGCTTTCTCTTATCAGATGAAAGCATCGACATCACAGTCCATAAAATGGTGGATGGAGGTCGTCTAAAGGAGCTGCACAGGGTATCAGGAAATGACATGGGTGGACAGAGAGTGGACAAGAACTTCATATCATTCCTCAGAGAGATATTCTCTGACAAAGTGTTTGATGAGTTTGAGAAAAGTTCTCCCAGTGAGCTGAAGAGGTTGATGTATGATTTTTCTATCTGTAAGCGTTATGACGGAGAGGTGATGGTGCAGTGTCCTTATAATCTACAACAGCTAGCCGGGAAAGTAAAAGACATAGAAGATTATTTTGAGGGAAACAGCGATGCTGAATGGGAAAGTGGCCAAATACTGCTGTCAGGGGCAAAGCTGAGAGCTCTACATGATGACAGTCTCAGAGGCATAGAAAGCCTGATAGAAGAAATACTGGAAAAATGCAACCTGAACATCAGATATATCGTCTTAGCTGGAGGCTTCGCCTTGAATCCTTATGTGAACAGCTTTGTTAAAGAGAAGTTTGGGTCAAAGTACAAGGTGCTCCGCCCTGTGGATGCCGCGTTGGCTGTTGTGAATGGAGCTGCTCTGCTTGGATCCATGCCGAACGTGGTTGAATCATGAATCTGAGTACTGTGATGTTTGCTTTCACTGCCTGGGAATATATTTGATGAAGGTAAAGGGTTCACCTTTACTGCCGCTGATTTAGCACTGTTAGTGTGAAATCTGATCAAATAACTGGATTCAGTTGTGGTCATTTTAAACATATTTATAATCTTTGGGGTTTGTCACTTGTAATGCAACTTATTGAGAGTATATTAATAAGTATGTTTGTTTGTTCTGTATTTACCTCTTCTTTATAAATTCTTGTGTAAAAATGAAAGAGTACCTGGGATCAAGTGAATTGCAAAATAAACCTAATTTATTACAAACAATGTGTGCAAGAGATCCTGTATTTTTGAGAATGCTTCAAAGATAAATATGTAGATGTTGTTTTGTGTTGAATTATACAGGTATTTTATCATTGTCCTGTTTGATTTGAGTATCTCAATGCAGCTCTATAGGGGCAGATCAATCTGCAGGATATGATGGAAAGTATTAATGTAACCCACATGACACGATGTCAGTATCATCCAGTGGTGGACGAAGTACACAAATCATGTACTTGAGCTAAAGTAGAGATACCCAAGGTAAAATATTACTCCAGTAAAAGTAGAAGTTCCTCCCTTTAGACCTCCACTTGAGTAAAAGTATTTGCCTTCAAATGTATTCAAGTATTGAAAGTAAAAGTACTAAAAGATTAATTATGGCTCTAATGTCCTTGTACCATTTTTGTAAGAAGACTCTGCTTCATTAACTCATTTTAGGTGAAAATACTCCAGTATCACTCTTGGTAAACCAATCTTTTAACAGAATGTCATTAATTAGTCTGACGTTGATGGCTATTAAAATTATCATAAGCACAAAACACTGAAGGCAAACAATTTCCATTAGGTAGAACCGAGTAGCTCTGAATTTTTTGCAAACAAGCGAAGTTTCAGTTTAAGATTTATTTGCAACTTAGTTACAAGTTTAAGTTTAATAAAAACTTGCTTTAAACTCAGGTTCACAACTGAGTTTTCCTTTACTATATTGCATCTGTAGGTCTCTGTTCGTAAACATAAACTAACAAAAACAAATTTACTATAAAATGAAATAGTGTTTGTATAAATTCAGAAAAAAGGCACGTCAGTCACAACTGCATGTGTGTACATATTTCTATATTGTGGTCTATTTACACAAAGTTAGGTTAGTTCCATCATTTATGTTGGAATAGACACTCCCACAATTTTACGCTGCTGCACTGACGTTGAGCTATGTGCTTGCAATGGGTCCAACAGGTCAAAACAAGCTCAAAACAAAGTGTGCACTGTGCCCTGATTGGTGTTCTTGCTTCACGCTTCTCTCGTTTTGACATGTTGCGTTTTTATACATATATAAGCCAAAAGGAATGACAGATTTCACATAATGTCGTGGAGTAAAAAGACTTTGAAATGTAGTGGAGTGAAAGTAAAAAGTCGCCCAAAATGGAAATACTTCATGAAAAGTACAGATACATGAAAAAACTACTTAAGTACAGTAACTAATTACATTTACTTTCTTATTGTCCACCACTGGTATCATCCTGCAATCGAGGAATTAAAGCAGCATTATGTGAAAATTGATGTTTTTTACTCTCAAGCTCCCCCTAGAGTTGCAGAGTATATTTTACTTTTACACCACTGTCCTAAATACAAATCGCACTTAGAGCGCCCCCTCATGGACAGCTGTATATGCATTTGTTGACAAGCTGAAGAATCCGACCCCCCTTCACTTGCACACATCACGCAGGAATATGGACACAACAGATTACACTTCCGATTTCGGTTGTTTCTGGTGGGGAGTCGGAATTTGGCACAAAGTGCCAAAGACAACATCAGAAGAAAAAGACACATGTTGACTTACAGGGTGGATATAGGGATATTACAGGATTTGATTACAAACTTTCAAGGCTTACTTGGTGTCAGACTGACAGACTGAATTTATTTCTTTGAATGTTAGCCTGAAAGGGGACTGAGATTAGATGATCTTTGGCATCTGGAAAAAGAACTCTGTGAGACAGAGATGACACAGATAAGGTTACAGTCTCTGGTGCACTCTATCATAAATAACACTAGCAGGGATTAACACTCTGTTGTCAGAGTTTCGCTGTTGTCCCGTTAGCCGTGAATCTGCCCTGCATCCTTTTATCTCTTTTAGCTCTCGTCAGCAAGCAAAAGCCAGACAGAGATTTACTGTCCAGTCTCTCACTCTGTTACTTTCTTTTTCTCTTTCTCTCTTCCTCCGTCTGTGTCTTCTTTGGTCTCTTCGTAGCCTCTGCCATGATGTTCATGCTGGGAATACCAAGCTGCTTCTTCTTGTAGTTGCTGGGTTGTTGGTGTGTGACGTGGTGCCGTAAAGCGCTACGCAGTTCTGGTGAAAGGTTCTCGTGCTGCTCGTCTAATGTTACATAGCGCTATAGCAGGTGTTCCTGGAGTGGAAACAACAGAGATGCCATTTCTCACTGTTATAAGTCAGTGTAGCATCAACATGACTTAGCAGTAGTCTAGAAATAAGAAGCTCTAAAGTGTTCAGAAGTTTGAAAGTAGAAAATGCTGTTATTTTTAGATCAAATGGCTTGAGATTAAAAGTGAAACACTTACTGACCAACAGATCAATGACTTTACTGAACCAAACCTGTTACTGTGACTGCATTCCTCTGACCGACAGAGCAATGATTTTACTGAACCAAACCTGTTACTGTGACTGCGTTCCTCTGACCGACAGACCAATGACTTTACTGAACCAAACCTGTTACTGTGACTGCGTTCCTCTGACCGTCAGATCAATGACCTTACCAAACCAAACCTGTTACTGTGACTGCGTTCCTCTGACCGTCAGATCAATGACCTTACCAAACCAAACCTGTTACTGTGACTGTGTTCCTCTGAACGACAGATCAATGACTTTACTGAACCAAACCTCTTACTGTGACTGCGTTCCTCTGACCGTCAGAATTTGTAATAAGTCTGGACCCAGACTAAACCAAGTACAACCAAATCCCTTCTGAAAAAAAAAAATGTGTAAAACATATGAATATATATATATATATATATATATATATATATATATATATATATATACAGTATATTGTATTTATTGCAATTTTAAAGCAATTTTTCCATACTTTGTCTACCACTACACGGGCCGCCATTATATTTATAATATATTTACTATATTGTACTATATACCCACTTTATTATTTTCATGAAGGCAATATCCTTGTTGAAACTTGTACAGTAATACAGTGTAAGTTATGCTTAAAAAAGATGGTTCTTCAAGGGTTCTTTAGGAAAGTGTTTTGTGTATGGTTCGAAGCATTCCATGCTTAAATGGTTATTTGGATGGTAAAATAGTTCAGACTGAAGGAGAATGTGTTGTGTATGGTTCTGAACAGCACCAAAAAGGGTTCTGCTATTGTTACGATGTCAAGCTTGTAACAATAGAAGAACCGTTTTGCTATGTTTGTAGACTAAGAGGATACTACACCATTTGTAGACTGAGAGGACACCAAAATGTGTCACTGTATTAGTTCACCCAAACTTTGTTTTTCTTTTTGAGGAGACCGCGGCTTCTGTCAGTAGTGTACCATTTTTAAAAGTCATATGAAGTCTGTTTTGCTTTGTTGTAAAGATTTATTTGGGGGTGGGGCAGTGGGGCAAGTATTCTGACACTTTTTGTTTTACTTCCAGTGCCTATATACATACCCACAGTAAAGTATGGAAGTGGGAAATTATGTTGTAAATTCAGGTCTGGAAATTCAAGGAATTACAATGCCGATGAAGGGCCATGGCAGACAAGCACGCCACTGGAATGTCACGTACATCATAAGAAAGAAATCAAGCATCAGCTTAGATCTGTCTGAACAACCAATCAAACAATAAATACTAGTATCTGTTCACTGATTTAACTCCATATTTAACTCCATACTCTTACCCCGGACTTTTCCCTGAATTTCCAGACCTGAAATTTACATATGGAATTACTTGACCTGAATTTTACAGCCTGAATTGACAGACTTGAATTTCTTGACCTGAATTTCAGGTTCTGGTGACACTAAGTTCTAAGTCATAGAAGAGGTCATGTCTGTTTTATCACACCAAAGCTGCCACATTGATCCAGGAAAACCCCTGAAAACACTTATTTTATTTTAGTCATTATTTCTCTGCTTGTTTCTTTTCCCCAGGAAAGGCAAGAATTTCAAAGATGACCTGGAATTCCTTTTAAAAGATGTGTCTGAATTTGACATCCAGGGTGAGTCTGTGCCATCTGTGGTGCTGGTACATGGATCTTCAGCATTTCCTATTGGACTCGCACCAAGTGGAAAGGCATTCTTTGCTGGGGCCTACTTTGGACAGGGACGAGTAATTGTGGCCAGCCATGAGGCCTACCTAGACCGTGAACCACTGTCCACTTTCATGATCAATGCTGTCCACTGGCTTGATAAAGGACGTAAGGACGTCATACAACGATGCTGAGTGTAAAGAGATCCAGGAATTTGTTGCTGGTGGTGGTGGCCTCCTGATCGGGGGACATGCTTGGTGGTGGGCTTATTGCAACCCTGGCTGCAACGTGATGACAGATTGCCCTGGAAATCGTATCCTCAGCAAGATGGGATTGAGCCTCTTGGAGAAAACTCTGAAAGCTGGGTTCTACAAGGCTCCACGTTCCTCAAGATGCAATAGAATTTCTTTTACAAGGAGTTTCTGTGTTTGACATCCAGGGTGAGTCTGTACCATCTGAGGTACTGTTGCATGGTCCCTCAGCATTTCCTGTTGGACTCACCCCAGATGGAAAGGCATTCTTTGCTGGGGCCTACTTTGGACAGGGACGAGTAATTGTGGCCAGCCATGAGGGCTACCTAGACCGTGAACCACTGTCCACTTTCATGATCAATGCTGTCCACTGGCTTGATAAAGGACGTAAGGGGGTTATCGGTGTCTTACCTGAACTTCAAAGGGCCTACTGTCTGCTGAGTAAGTCAGGACTACAGTGTAGGTTGACTGGTTTTGAGAGGAGCCTGAGTGTCTTTGTCTGTACGTCATACAACGATGCTGAGTGTAAAGAGATCCAGAAATTTGTTGCTGGTGGTGGTGGCCTCCTGGTCGGCGGACATGCTTGGTGGTGGGCTCACTGCAATCCTGGCAGCGATATGATGAGGGATTGTCCTGGAAATCGTATCCTCAGCAAGATGGGATTGAGCCTTTTGGAGAAAACTGTGAAAGCTGGGTTGTACAAGGCCCCACAGGTGAAGCATTATGGCATTTCTTCTACACGGATGTATCATTTCCAGGATTTGCTGCAGCATTTTGCTGGGCATGTGCTTCAGGGTCAGC